TAGGGACTTTGGTGCACCATTCGGACGAAAATATATCAATAGGGTTCGTCCTTGGACCAAATAAATGAGCTGTGCCAAATTTCAACCAATTCGGATTATGAATGCGACCTGTATTTTGTTTACAACATAACACCAACAGACGGACGGACATGCATAAATCGTCTCAGAAAGTGATTCTATGCATATTCTCAAAAGAAACTATGGGTCTATCTCGTTTCCTTTTGCCTGTTACAAACATATGCACAAAGTCATAATACCCTGTACCGCAGTGTGGTAAAGGGTATAAAAGTCCTCGCCTCTTGCAGTCCTCATAAAAACAATATTTTTTAAAGATCAACGCCTTTTGTAGACTCTTAAAAAAAAAACTATTAAAAATCCGCGCCTTTTGTAGACTCCTAAAAAACTATTAAAAATCCGTGCATCTTGTAGTCCTCATAAAAAATATTTATTGAAAATCCACGCCTTTTATAGACCCTGCAAGAAATGTTAATTAAAAATCCACTCCTTTTATAGACCCTGCAAAACATGTTAATTAAAAATCCACGCCTTTTGAATACCCTACTTAAATATTTATTTCAAATCCATGCCTCTCGTTTTTTATTAAAAATCCAAAATCCACTTCTCCTTCTTGATATTTGAAAAAAATATTTGAAAACTTTTATTTCTTATTTCCTTGATATCGATGTTTGTCTCAAGTTGATATCTCACCACAATTATTATTTTTGTGTGTGTGTTTTGCCATGAAATAATCTCAAGGAAATAATATTCCAAATTGGTTATGGATAATAACATTTGATAGTAATAATAATCAAGAAAATAAACAACATTTCTTCTCACACACACACACACACACACGCCAATATAGACAATTCAATGAGCAAAAAAAAAAATCGCAAGTAATTTAATCTTCATTTTTTTCTTTCCAATATTTTGATGTTTTTTTTTTTGGTATTCAATTTTAAATACTTTTTAATAATTTTTGTTTGTTTTCTTTTTTCGATTGTTTGCTACATCTTACACAAATAAATATCCGAACTCAAGAGGGAGTTTGAATTGTTTGAAGGCGCGTGTAGGTTTTTTTGGTTCGGTCGCTTGTTTGATTTGATTTGAAACGAACGAATTGGACCACCTGCGTTGCCAATAATACGAATATGTACACGCGCCATGCCAGTTGTTTAATATCAATTCTGTTTGTTCAATGATTATTTGAAATGCAAAAAAAATCGAAAAAATTGATTCGGCAAACAATAATAATAACAAAAAAATATATATATTCCAAAAAAATTGAAACATTGTTTATATGATTTTTTTTTCATTTATTTGTTCCAATTTCTATCTTTGTGGTCAAATTTGGAGATTTTTATTTTTTTATTATATTTATTGGGAAATTGGGTTAAGATCATCAGTATTGCAGTTGTTTGTAAACAATTTGGATACTGGGATTTTTAGAAATTTATTAGAATACTGCAAATATGCGTTTTTTTATTTAGAATTTTTTTTTATAATCACCATAGACGTGGATTTGTTAAATAAAACTTTTTCTGTTTTCCATCTAACCACCACCTACACACCAATGTATTGGAAAACCTCGTTCCCACCTCTAACCTCACATGGAAAAGGTTTAAATGGCGCTTAAACTGTCATCAATCATAAATGAAGATAGGCGCACACACAAAAACAGATCATCATCAATAGTGACAGCAAACAAAACACAGTGATTTTTTTTCGAACACAGAACCTCTTTCATTTTGGATGCAACTCACCACAAGCGGTGGCAAGCAAAACAACTCCATTCATTGTCTTTGTTGTTGTTTGCTTTGTATTTTTCCCAGTTATTGATACCATACTGTGTGACTATCAATCGATCAATAATGGTGGGAGGCGTTACTGCACACACACACATACATATATATGTGTGGTTATATCAAAACGATAATAGGGCTCCCATTGTTCTCGCATACCTGGTGGCAATTGAAATTATTTTCATAGGCACCCCATTGGGTTTTATGATTGTTACAAGCCCTTTGGGCTAATTAATGTACATTGTCGATGTATAAAAATCAATATTTATGGATTTGTTTTTTTCAATTTTGAATTGGCGGTGATTTTACAAGTTTCCTATGACATGACATGTTGTTAATCTTGTTATTATTACGAACGATGAACGATGTTGGGGTTGAATAATTGAAAAATCAACAGAGAAATATTTTAAACCATGGGTGGTATGAATTTATTAGAAAACAAAGGGTATACGTGGGTGGTTCTAGGAATTTTTATTTGTAAGAAGGCTTGGAAACTTTGTTTTAGAAGGGTGATAAGAAGATGATGGATATTTATCAAGTAAATACGTATACTATTGGAGGGGTAATATTTTTTCATCAGAACTAGATGGAGTCTTGACTGAGGAGCTGAAGTGAGTCTTTCTTGACGAGCTGAATGGAGTATATGTCTGTCACAAGATCTATTTAAAATGTTCTATAAGAAATCTAGGCCTATTTGATGCCCGGGGAAATATTCTTCAAGCAGTAAAGAAATTAGTAAAGTCTGACAGGGCTGACTATATGATACCCTTTACCACTTTGGGTATATTCAACAGATGGTTAGGTATGTTTTGTGCATTTCGGCCACATTTTGAGATCTTGGTGCATCATTTACTAAAAATCGGAAAAAATATATATGGTAGCGCTATCCAAATTTGAACCGATTTCATCAAAACTTTCCATATGTTAGGTTATATTAACTCCTGTACGTTGTGCAAAATGTTGTGCCAATCGGCATAACTTTGGCTCTTTTGTGTCCCATTTACTTTAAATCGAATGAAACTATATATGGGAGCTATATCTAAATCGGAATTTATTCCTACAAAACTTGGCAAACATTAGGCAATACTAATTTTAGTACGTTATGCAAAAATTTTTAGCAAACGGCATAAGTTTGGGGTTTTGTGCACCTTTTACTTAAAATCGAACGAAACAATATATAGGAGCTATATCTAAATCTGAACCGATTTCAACAAAACTTGCCACACGTTATGTTATAGTATCTGCAGTACGTTGCGTAAAATTTTGTGCCAATCGGACCCACCTGGTTTGGTGCAGAATTTCTATATAACTTCTAGGTAATAGTAGCCTCAGTACGTTGTGCAAAATTTTGTGTCAAAATCGGGCGAAAATATATATGTAGAAGGTATATCTAAATCTAAATCGATTTCAACGAAACTTGCCAGAGATTAATTTATATTAACTACATTACATTGTACAAAATTGTGTGGCGATCGGACAAACTTTGGGTGCACAATTTACATAAAATCAGAAGAAAATATATATGAGCTATGTCAAAATCTGAACCAACACTTAGCACATATCAAAACATAGCACATATCATTATACCCTACACAACTATGTTGTCAGGATATTATAGCTTTGTGAAGCCCCAAGAGTTTATAACGCCGCGAAATATTGATCCTAGATCCACCTTTAAGTATACCGATCTTCATATCTCGACTAGCTGAGCCGATCTAGACATGTGTGTCCGTCCGTCCGTCCATTAAAGTTTGTAAACACGATACAGGCCACAGTTATGGTCCAATCTTCACGAAATTTTGCATGTAGGATGGGTTCTGGCCAATGAAGACCCCTATTGTTTTTGGTAAAGATTGGTTAATATTTAGGGGATGAAATGGACCAAATACTTAATACTTATGGTCAAGGACAACGTCTAAAATGTTAGGTGATTATCAGATAATAATTTTTCGGATGAAAACTTAATTATTTGTACTTTTCGAGTCGAAAGCCGAACATTACAACATAACTGATTATTAGTAACATTTGTTAACCTCTAGCCAGTCAAAAGTGTGCAAATATCGCGAAATATTGCCAAATCTCAGAATACAGAACCACAGAAAGTTAGATTTCCATGGAAGTTGTGTAGGGTATCATATGGTCGGCCCCGTCCGACTATACTGCTTCGCTCACTGGTTATAGACTTAATTCAGTACGATATGCCAAATTTTGTGGAAATCGAAACATATACAGGGACTTTGGTACACCATTTACATAAAATCGGACAAAAATATATACGGGAGCTATATCAAAATTTTAACCGATTTTCTCGAAACCTAACACACGACATCCAAGACTCAATTCAATACACTATGCAAAATTTTGTGTAAATCGAAAGTCATATAGGGACTTTGGTGCATCATTTACATAAAATCGGTGCAAACTATATACGAGAGCTATATAAAAATTTTAACCGATTTTCTCGAAACCTAACACACATCATTCTAGACCTCTTTCAGTATCCTATGTCAAATTTCGGGCAAATCAAAAGACAAATAGGGGCATTGGTGCCCCATTTACCTTAAATCGGACGAAAATATATATGGGAGCTGTAAGTAAATCTGAACCGATTTTCTCGAATTTTGACACACATCATTCAAGACTCAATTCAGTACCCTATGCCAAATTTCGTGCAAATCGAAAGATATTTAGGGATTTTGGTGCAACATTTACCTTGAATCGGACGAAAATATATATGGGAGATATATTTAAATCTAATCCGATTTTCTTCAATTTCAATAGGGTTCATCCTTGGGTCACATAAGTGACTTGTACCAAATTTTATCAAAATCGGACCATAAACGCGACCTGTACTTTGTTTACAATTTAACATCTACAGACGGGCGGACGAACGGACATGCATAAATCTTCTCAGAAAGTGATTTTAAACATTTTCTCAAAAGGGGCCATATATATACCGTTTCCTTTTGTCTGTTACAAACATATGCATAAAGACATAATACCTTGTACCACAGTGTGGTGAAGGGTATATTGATAGTCATATAAAAAATATATATTCCTCAAAAAATCCTTGATGGTCATAGAAAAAATATTCATTAAAAAATTCGCGATTGTATTGCTAGAAATGTTATTATTTAAAAATTAATTTAAAAATGTATCCATTCGCTAATAAAAAATTCAATTAAATGTTTTTATTTCTTTACAGGCAAACTTGAATCATGTTCCGATGAAAATGAAGAAATTCACGTTCCAATCAAAAATTCCAAATGTTATACATGTTCCTGTCAGGTAAGCTTTCCAACAACATTTTTTTCTATACCAAAAAGAATAAGAAGAAGAAAATGTCTTTATACATTTTTTAAACCATCCCATTCAATCCCTTTTCTAACTTAAAATTAGAAACTACTGCATTATAAGTCTATAGGAAAAACGCGCCATAGAACGGAAATGTTGTGCACACACTCACACATGCAGATGTCTAGAAGACATGACAATATTTATATGTGTTGACCTCAGATTAAAAAGTGATTCCAATAAGAAAAAAAAGATACATAAATCTATACATATTTACAAGGAAGTGCACTAAACGGAATTTAAAAGCCCAACTATCAAAGTCGAATCTTTGAAAGAAATATATGACCAGAGGAAAAGTTGAATTTAAAGAAGAGACGTCCATGGGACTTGTATGTATGCAACAGAGAAGGGATTAAGGTGGAAGTATTTAGGGGGCCTTTAAATGATCCTTTAACTCAATTTTTTGGATGAATATTTTTATATTTAAAAGTAATAAATATTCAGTGGGACTAAAACTGGATATGGCGTTGTGGATGGTCAAAAAATATTCCAAAGAAAATCTACAGAGGAGTTGTTGGTAAAAAGTATTCTTTAAAAAATATACATTTTCGAGGGCCCTAAAATATATTCTTTAAAAAATATACGTTTGCGAGGATCCCACATTATACTATTTAAAAATCTACGCTGAAGAGTTTCTAGAAAAAAGTCCAGGTCTCATATAAGGCTGGATAAAATATTCTTTAAAAAATTCAGGATTAATATGAGGCTTGAAAAAATACTCCTTAAAAAATTCACGCCTCATATGAGGCTGGAAAAAATATTCTTTAAAAAATCCACGCCTCATATGAGGCTGGAAAAAATATTCTTTAAAAAATCCACGCCTCATATGAGGCTGGAAAAAATATTCTTTAAAAAATCCACGCCTCATATGAGGCTGGAAAAAATATTCTTTAAAAAATCCACGCCTCATATGAGGCTGGAAAAAATATTCTTTAAAAAATCCACGCCTCATATGAGGCTGGAAAAAATATTCTTTAAAAAATCCACGCCTCATATGAGGCTGGAAAAAATATTCTTTAAAAAATCCACGCCTCATATGAGGCTGGAAAAAATATTCTTTAAAAAATCCACGCCTCATATGAGGCTGAAAAAAATATTCTTTAAAAAATCCACGCCTCATATGAGGCTGGAAAAAATATTCTTTAAATAATAAAAAATCCACGCCTCATATGAGGCTGGAAAAAATATTCTTTAAAAAATCCACGCCTCATATGAGGCTGGAAAAATATTCTTTAAAAAATCCACGCCTCATATGAGGCTGGAAAAAATATTCTTTAAAAAATCCACGCCTCATATGAGGCTGGAAAAAATATTCTTTAAAAAATCCACGCCTCATATGAGGCTGGAAAAAATATTCTTTAAAAAATCCACGCCTCATATGAGGCTGGAAAAAATATTCTTTAAAAAATCCACGCCTCATATGAGGCTGGAAAAAATATTCTTTAAAAAATCCACGCCTCATATGAGGCTGGAAAAATATTCTTTAAAAAATCCACGCCTCATATGAGGCTGGAAAAAATATTCTTTAAAAAATCCACGCCTCATATGAGGCTGGAAAAAATATTCTTTAAAAAATCCACGCCTCATATGAGGCTGGAAAAAATATTCTTTAAAAAATCCACTCCTCATATGAGGCTGGAAAAAATATTCTTTAAAAAATCCACGCCTCATATGAGGCTGGAAAAAATATTCTTTAAAAAATCCACGCCTCATATGAGGCTGGAAAAAATATTCTTTAAAAAATCCACGCCTCATATGAGGCTGGAAAAAATATTCTTTAAAAAATCCACGCCTCATATGAGGCTGGAAAAAATATTCTTTAAAAAATCCACGCCTCATATGAGGCTGGAAAAAATATTCTTTAAAAAATCCACGCCTCATATGAGGCTGGAAAATATATTATTTCAAAAATCTACATCAAATTCATGCTTGTTCTCACCTATGGGCATCTTAAAGGGCCCACTTTCTTACTCACCTGATTTTATAGAATATCATATTATTCGACATACCCATAAATATATATCTACGAAAGTTTCTAACGTTTTTTTCTGTTTTTTGTTCTGGCTTGTTGCTAATAATGCTGTTTCTTCGTGTTCTGTCATTTTCTTGGCAACGACAAATTTAACATTATTGCAATAACACTACTACTTGACCTGGCCTTTTGCCATGCAGCCAGGCAGGCATGCTTGCTAACTATGTATGGGCTCTCCACATGGCTGGACAAAAATTAAAATATTCACAAGAAAACTGAAAATTAAAAATAAAAAAAAACAACTTATTTTTATACTCCAGTATACAAAAAAGGCAATCAACTGCCATACTAATTGTTATTTTATTTTAAACATTTTTAATTGTACATATTTTTTTATTTTATTTATTATTTTAGACAATGGTTCTAATAGATCTCTCCGAATATTTCAATTAAACAAAGTTTGTCATTTGAAATGTCTTCATTCCATGCTTCATTTTCTTTCTCTTCTTTTGTTTATAATTTACAATTCAAATTATTCAATTAGTTTTCCAATTAAAAGTTTTGTAAAATATGAGCGAGAGAGAGAGCGAATATCTGTTAAACAGAAAAAGTTTTGTTTTCAATTGAATTATCCTTTCTGTTTCAAGTTTTCTAGTTAAACTTGGTGACAATTGAATGGAATCTTGTGAGAAGTTTTTAACTCACGCACAATTTATGTACTCTTTGAAATTGTTTTTAATTATTTATGAGCTGCAGTTTTGAGTTATGCTCATAGTTTGCTGGAGAAGATTTATTCAGTTTATGTCTGATAGATGTTTGACTTATAGCTGAGATATTTAATTAAGAAAATAAGTTGAGAGATATTTAATGTCATTGCTAATTGCATGAATTTTATTAATTGAAATCAACAAAAATTTTGTGTAGGTCCTTGAACATTTGTTTAATAAATCCAAGCCATGTGAGGTCTTTGTAGTTTAGGTTAAGTGGTAACGTATACGGCTATATTGCTTGGTTACCAAAAATGAAATAAATTAAGTTAAAAAATGTATAAATCCAAGCCTTGTGTAGGTGCTTGAAATTTTTTTATTAACTCCAAGCCTGTTGAAGGAACTTAAATTTTTTTAGTAAATCCAAGCCTTATATCCCTACCTTATATAGTTCCCTGAAAATATTTGTTAATAAATCCACAATTTATTCTTAAAACCACGGCACGATATTGAAAACTTATAAATTCACATTTTAATATTGTCCAAAAATTAATATCTAACCAGTAAGGAAAGTTGTAAATTCGGACTGGGCCGACTATATGATACCCTTCACCACCTTGGGTATATTGTACATATGTATCCTTACAATTGCATGCCATTGTTCTCTCGAAGGAACATATAGTCGTCTGAATACCATGCGGTACGCCGCACAGTTATATATATATATATATATATATATATGTGGGAGCTAAATTGAAATCTGAACCGATTTTTCCAAATCTTACAACACATTATTCTAGACTCAATTCACTACTCTATCCCAAAAGATCGGACGAAAATATACATGGAAGCTATATCTAAATCTGAACCGATTTCACGAAACTTAACTCACATCAATCTAGGCTTCATTCAGTACACTATGCCAAATTAAGTCCAAATCCAAGGATATATAGGGATTTTGGTGCCCATTTACATAAAATAGGACGAAAATATACATGGGAGCTATATCGAAATTTGAATCGATTTTCACGAATCTTAACACTCATCGTTCTAGAATTAATTAAGTGCGATATGCCAAATTTCGAGCAAATCGAAAGATATATAGGAACTTCAATGCCCATTTACCTTAAGTCAGACGAAAATATACATGGGAGCTATATCGAAATCTGACCCGATCTGACGTGGCACACATCATTATAAACTAATTCAGTACACTATGCCAAATTTCGCGAAAATCGAAACATATATGGGGACTTTGGTGCACCATTTACATAAAATCGGACGAAAACATATATGGCAGCTCTATCGAAATCTGAACTGATTTTATCGGAACACACGTCATTCTGGACCTAATTCAGTACCCTATGCCAAATTTCGCGCAAATCGAAAGATATATAGGGACTTTGCTGCAACACTTACACAAAATCGGAGCTCTATCGAAATCTGACCCGATTTTCTGGAATCTTGACACACGTCATTCTAGACCCAATTCAGTACACTATGCAAAATTTCGCGCAAATCGAAAAATATATAGGGACTTCGGTGCACCATTTACCTTAAATCGGACGAAAATATATATTGGAGCTATATCTAAATCTGACCCGATTTTCTCGAAACCTAACACAAATTTCGTGCAAATCGAAATATATCTAGGGACTTTGGTGCACCATTTACATAAAATCGGAGAAAACTATATATGTCAACTACATCTAAATCTGAACTGATTTTCTCGGAACTTAACACACGTCATTCTGGACCTAATTATATTATATGAAAATATATATTGGAGCTATATCTAAATCTGACCCGATTTTCTCGAAACCTAACACACGTCATTCAGGACCTAATTGAGTATCCTATGACAAATTTCATACAAATCGAAAGGTATATAGGGACTTCGATGCTCCATTTACTTTAAATCGGACGTAAATATATATTGGAGCTATTTCTAAATCTGACCCGATTTTCTCGAAACCTAACACACGTCATTCTCGTCCTAACTCAGTACACTATGCCAAATTTCGTGCAAATCGACGGATATATATATAGACGTTGGTGCACCATTAACATAAAATCGGCCGACAAAATATACGGGAGCTCTATCGAAATCTGACCCGATTTTCTGGAAACTAGGCACACGTCATTCTAGACCGAATTCAGTACACTATGCTAAATTTCGTGCAAATCGAAAGATATATAGGGACTTTGGTGTCCCATTTACCTTAAATCGGACGCAAATATATATGGGAGCTATA